GTCCCCCAGCCCAGGGAATTTGGGATTCGAGCACCTGGAATGTTCTGGCAGCTCCTTGGGGACAGCTGTGGTGGCACTGGGGTGTCCCCCAGCCCGGGAAATTTGGGAGTGGAGCGCTCAGAATGTTCCAGCAGCTCCTTGGGGACCGCGGGTGACACTGGAGTGTCCCCTGCCCCAGGAATTTGGGAGTGGAGCACCCAGAATGTTCCAGCAGCTTCTTGGGGACATCTGGGGTGGCACTGGGGTGTCCCCCAGCCCGGGAAATTTGGGAATGGAGCGCTCAGAATGTTCCAGCAGCTCCTTGGGGACAGCGGGTGACAGCTGTGGTGGCACTGGGGTGTCCCCCGGCCTGGGAAATTTGGGAATGGAGCACCCAGAATGTTCCAGCAGCTCTTTGGGGACCACGGGTGACACTGGAGCGTCCCCCAGCCCCAGGAATTTGGGAGTGGAGCGCTCAGAATGTTCCAGCAGCTCCTTGGGGACAGCTGTGGTGGCACTGGGATGTTCCCCAGCCCTGGGAATTTGGGAAAGAGCCTTGGGGACAGCGGGTGACAGCGGCGGTGGCACTGGGGTGTCCCCCAGCCCAGGGAATTTGGGAGTGGAGCACTCAGAATGTTCCAGCAGCTCCTTGGGGACCGCGGGTGACACTGGAGTGTCCCCAGCCCCAGGAATTTGGGAATGGAGCGCTCAGAATGTTCTGGCAGCTCCTCGGGGACAGCTGTGGTGGCACTGGGGTGTCCCCACAGCCCAGGGAATTTGGGAATGGAGCGCCCAGAATGTTCCAGCAGCTCCTTGGTGGCACTGGGATGTCCCCCAGCCTGGGGAAATTTGGGAATGGAGCGCTCAGAATGTTCCAGCAGCTCTTTGGGGACAGCTGTGGTGGCACTGGGGTGTCCCCCAGCCCAGGGAATTTGGGAATGGAGCACCTGGAATGTTCCAGCAGCTCTTTGGTGGCACCGGGGTGTCCCCCAGCCCAGGGAATTTGGGAATGGAGCGCTCAGAATGTTCCAGCAGCTCTTTGGGGACAGCTGTGGTGGCACTGGGGTGTCCCCCAGCCCCGGGAATTTGGGAATGGAGCACCTGGAATGTTCCGGCAGCTCCTTGGGGACAGCGGGTGACAGCTGTGGTGGCACTGGGGCGTCCCCCAGCCTGGGAAATTTGGGAGTGGAGCGCTCAGAATGTTCCAGCAGCTCTTTGGGGACAGCTCCGGTGGCACTGGGGTGTCCCACAGCTTGGGGAAATTTGGGAATGGAGCACGCGGAATGTTCCGGCAGCTCCTTGGGGACAGCTGTGGTGGCACTGAGGTGTCCCCGAGCCCCGGGAATTTGGGAATGGAGCGCTAAGAATGTTCCAGCAGCTCCTTGGGGACAGCGGGTGACAACTGGTGGCACTGGGGTGTCCCTCAGCCCCGGGAAATTTGGGAATGGAGCGCTCAGAATGTTCCGGCAGCTCCTTGGGGACAGCTGTGGTGGCACTGGGGTGTCCCATAGCCCCGGGAATTTGGGAATGGAGCGCTCAGAATGTTCCGGCAGCTCTTTGGGGACAGCTGTGGTGGCACTGGGGTGTCCCCCAGCCCAGGGAATTCAGGAATGGGGAGATTTTCTGGGAACAGCACAAAATGTGGTGGTTTGGGGATGAATTCAGGGGTTTTTGGAGCTCCCTCCGGGTTTTATGGGAATGAATCCGGCTGCTGGATCCCAGTGCTCCCAGTTTGCAACACTGGGATGTTGTCCCAGTTGGGTGAGGGGTGCTTGGGATTTGGGGAATTTGGGCTNACACCCTGGGACACCCCTGGGGGCACCCAATGGCACCCTGGGACACCTCTGGGACACCCTGGGGGCACACCTGGGATATTCCCATATCTGGGGGTCCTTATTCCCATTCCAGGGGGTCCCAGTTCCCATTTCAGGGGATCCCTATTCCCATTTCAGGTGTCCCAGTTCCCATCCCAGGGTTCCCCACCATAACCCACTCCGATATTCCCATTCCAGGGGGTCCCAGGGTTCCCCACCATAACCCATCCCAATATTCCCATTCCAGGCGTGTCCCTGTTCCCATTCCAGGGGGTCCCAGTTCCCGTTCCAGGGGGTCCCAGTTCCCGTTCCAGGGTTCCCCACCATAACCCACCCCAATATTCCCATTCCAGGCGTGTCCCAGTTCCCATTCCAGGCGTGTCCCTGTTCCCATTCCAAGGGGTCCCAGTTCCCATTTCAGGGGGTCCCTATTCCCATTCCAGGGGGTCCCAGTTCCCATCCCAGGGGATTCCTACCCTGACCCATCCCAATATTCCCACTCCAGGCGTGTCCCAGTTCCCATCCCAGGGTTCCCCACCATAACCCACCCCAATATTCCCATTCCAGGCGTGTCCCAGTTCCCATCCCAGGGGATCCCTACCCTGACCCATCCCGATATTCCCATTCCAGGCGTGTCCCTGTTCCCATTTCAGGTGTCCTAGTTCCCATTCCAGGGTTCCCCACCATAACCCATCCCGATATTCCCACTCCAGGCGTGTCCCTGTTCCCATTTCAGGTGTCCTAGTTCCCATTCCAGGGTTCCCCACCATAACCCATCCCGATATTCCCATTGCAGGGGGTCCCAGGGTTCCCCACCATAACCCACCCCAATATTCCCACTCCAGGCGTGTCCCAGTTCCCATTTCAGGGGGTCCCTATTCCCATTCCAGGGGGTCCCAGTTCCCATCCCAGGGGATCCCTACCCTGACCCACCCCGATATTCCCATTCCAGGCGTGTCCCTGTTCTCGCTGAGCGCTCTCCTGCTCCCGGAACACTTCACCTATTACGTGGCGCAGCTGAGGGAGCTGAGCCTCAGCCCCGGCCTCATCTTCTCGGCCAAGTTCGCCCTGGCCTTTCCCCTGTCCTACCACACCTGGAACGGGATCCGGCACCTGGTGAGCTCGGGGAATTGGGGACAGCTCCTTGGGGACAGCGGGTGTCAGCTGTGGTGGCACTGGGATGTCCCCCAGCCTGGGAAATTTGGGAATGGAGCACCCAGAATGTTCCAGCAGCTCCTTGGAGACCACGGGTGACACTGGAGCGTCCCCCAGCCCAGGGAATTTGGGAGTGGAGCGCTCAGAATGTTCCAGCAGCTCTTTGGGGACAGCTGTGGTGGCACTGGGGTGTCCCCCAGCCTGGGGAAATTTGGGAATGGAGCACCTGGAATGTTCCAGCAGCTCCTTGGGGACAGCGGGTGACAACTGGTGGCACTGGGATGTCCCCCAGCCCAGGGAATTTGGGAAAGATCCTTGGGGACAGCGGGTGTCAGCTGTGGTGGCACTGGGGTGTCCCCCAGCCTGGGGAAATTTGGGAATTGAGCACCCGGAATGTTCCAGCAGCTCCTTGGTGGCACCGGGATGTCCCCCAGCCCAGGGAATTTGGGAGTGGAGCGCTCAGAATGTTCCAGCAGCTCCTTGGGGACAGCTGTGGTGACACTGGGATGTCCCCCAGCCCAGGGAATTTGGGAATGGAGCACCTGGAATGTTCCGGCAGCTCCTTGGGGACTGTGGGTGACACTGGAGTGTCCCCAGCCCCAGGAATTTGGGAATGGAGCGCTCAGAATGTTCCAGCAGCTCTTTGGGGACAGCTGTGGTGGCACTGGGGTGTCCCCCAGCCCAGGGAATTTGGGATTCGAGCACCTGGAATGTTCCAGCAGCTCTTTGGGGACCACGGGTGACACTGGAGTGTCCCCCAGCCCCAGGAATTTGGGAGTGGAGCGCTCAGAATGTTCCAGCAGCTCTTTGGGGACAGCTCCGGTGGCACTGGGGTGTCCCACAGCCCAGGGAATTTGGGAATGGAGCACCTGGAATGTTCCGGCAGCTCCTTGGGGACAGCTGTGGTGGCACTGGGATGTCCCCCAGCCCAGGGAATTTGGGAATGGAGCGCTCAGAATGTTCCAGCAGCTCCTTGGGGACAGCGGGTGACAGCTGTGGTGGCACTGGGGTGTCCCCCAGCCCCGGGAATTTGGGAATGGAGCGCTCAGAATGTTCCAGCAGCTCTTTGGGGACAGCTGTGGTGGCACTGGGGTGTCCCCCAGCCTGGGGAAATTTGGGAATGGAGCGCTCAGAATGTTCCAGCAGCTCTTTGGGGACAGCTGTGGTGGCACTGGGATGTCCTCCAGCCTGGGGAATTTGGAAATGGAGCACCCGGAATGTTCCAGCAGCTCTTTGGGGACAGCTGTGATGGCACTTGAGTGTCCCACAGCCCCAGGAATTCAGGAATGGGGAGATTTTCTGGGAACAGCACAAAATGTGGTGGTTTGGGGATAGATTTGAGGAGTTTTTGGAGCTCCAGAAAGGTTTTATGGGAGTGAATTCCAGAGGGTGATGAGATCTGGCACCTGGTGAGTGCCTGGCCCAGGAAATTTGGGAATGGAGCACCCGGAATGTTCCGGCAGCTCTTTGGGGACAGCTGTGGTGGCACTGGGGTGTCCCACAGCCGCAGGAATTCAGGAATGGGGAAATTTTCTGGGAACAGCACAAAATGTGGTGGTTTGGGGATGGATTGAGGGGTTTTTGGAGGTCCTTCTGGGTTTTATGGGAGCGAATCCGGCTGCTGGATCCCAGTGCTCCCAGTTTGCAACACTGGGATGTTGTCCCAGTTGGGTGAGGGGTGCTTGGGATTTGGGGAATTTGGGCTGGAATTTTTGGGAAAAGCGGGGCTTTTCTGCCC